TTTATATTTTTAAACTATTATCCATATGTCTGCCCTTGAGCCCTTTAAGTAAAAGCCCAGAGCTAATGTATTACACAGATTTCATTTCTCGCCAAGAAGCCCAGTGCAAAATAAAGACACTTAGAAAGACACATTTTCATAAAACTATGGTGGTCAGCCCAGGACAAGAAAAAACACTATGTACTTTCTCTCCCTGGTTTAACCTCTAAAAGTGCTATTTCCTATATCTTAAGAAACTAAAGTTAACCCAGAGCATAAAGACCACAGGACCTTTGAAATCAGTCTATCCTCCATTAATTTCAACATGTGTGTGCTACATGGTTTTAGAGACATTCCCTCTCTTTACCCGAAAGCTCTCCCTCCTCCCAACACGACGTAAGTGAACGTCGGGCATTCGTCTCTTCGCGATCTTTGCTAAACATGTTCTCTTTCATCAGATTTCACTTGTCAAGCAAAACATATTAATTGATAATTATGGGAAGCCTACCCCCACAATCTCAGCTGAACTCACATTTCATTATTTTGAAATTCACCAGCAGTCTGATACCATATACATGGGGAAGGCAATTTGTCAGCAATGAGAGAAAGAAGATGTTATCATACAAACATACATTATGTAAGTTCTTACATAAATATAAATGGAAAAAAAAATGTGGTATCATGAAAGATAATACTACATGGTATCATTTACATATGGAATCTAAAAAAAAAAGAAATTCAAGCTCATAGAAAGAGTAGAAAGGTGGTTGCCAGGGGCTGGTGGGTAGAGGTGGATATAGGGAGAGGTTGGTAAAAGGGTACAGACTTTCAGCTATAAGACGAATAAAGTCTGAGATCCAAAGTATAACATGGTGACTACAGTTGATAATACTGTATATTATAAGTGAAATTTGCTAAGAGTAAAACTTCAATTTCTCACACACACACAAAAAGATAAATATGTGAAGTGATATGCTAATTAACTAGATGGGGGGAATCCTTCCACAATGTGTACATATATATATTTATCAAATTACCATGGTGTATACTTTAAATATCTTACAACTTTATATGTCAATTATGCTTCGATAACGCTGAAATTTAAAAAATCATGGTATCGTTTTAAAAAATGTATCCCACAGTGAAGATGAATCAGCCTTTTAGATATTAAAATATATTAAAGCTAATGATTAAAACATATCGTAGTAGCAAATACCTACAGATATATTGATGTAATGTAATGGAAAGTCAAGAAACTCAAAATAGTTAAGAACAGTATATGATAAGGGTGCTATCCTAAATCATTGGGGAAAAACAGATTACTTTATAAATGATGTTGGATCAAAAACCAACTGAGAGAAAAAATAAAAACTGAAATCATTCTCATCTTACATCGGGATCAATTCCAAATATATCATATTTCAACGTAAAGGTAAACAAAACCATAAAAGTACCATAAGAAATACAAGATTAAAAAAAAAATCATCTAAATGTGGAAAATACTCGTCTAACAAACCAAAAAGGGTGATTTTAAAAATTTGATAAATTCAGTTGCATAAAAAATAAATTTGGCATGCCAAAAAACTTCAAAAACAAAGTAAAGGACAAATTTGGGGAAATGTTTACAGTTCCGACTATTGACAAAGGCTGTTTTCCTAATATATAAAGAGTTCCTATAACACTAAGAGAAAAATTCAACTGGAAAACAGGGAAAGAATAAGAAAAGGTAAATCAAGTTTCTTAAACATAAAAATGTGCCTTACATCATGCATATAATACCACACTGAGATACCACTTTTCACTTTTCAGATATAAAGAATCTAAATATTAATAACATTTATTAGTGAAGGAGTGAGAAAACAGTCATTTTCATATAATGGCAATGGGAATGTAAATCTACAATTCTTTAAAGAACTGGACAATATCTACAAAATGATAAAGAAGTAACTCTAATTTTAGAAATTTATCCTACATATTTATTTACATATGTAAATATGCAAGGTTATTTACTGAAGCACTGCTAGTAATAACTGAAAGTTGTAAACAACCTGAATATAGATCAAAAGGAATTAAATAAATAATAAC